CTTCAAACTTAGCGGAGAACCCCCGTAAACGTTTCTTCCCGTCTGATACGAACGTTACGACGATCCTTGGTCCGACTGAATATATTGTAGAAGGTTTCTTATTTCCACAGAACTTTCCATAGGGTGGGTCATTATCATTGTAGCTATCTCGCACATCCACGTAATCAACTCCATCGCAAGTATCCTGCCCTGCGATTTCCCCCAGGTGGAACACGCTGAAGTTAAGCTTGATACGGTGACCGCTGGGTACTGTTATAGTCCAGCGGCATTTCGTATCGATGTTGTGAGAAAATGGATTAAGAGGGCTTTGAATGGTGCCATTTGTGCCGCTCCTCATTATGTTATTGTTTGCATCGGGGTCATGTTCTTGGCTACACTCCGCTTACATCGTAAGTTGAAGAGATAAACAGGAAATACAGTTAAGCGTCTAAAAAATAAATTTCAATCTAATCCGCCTCTCTCTCACAAAAAATTGGTATAGATTAAGATCAACATTGTTTAGGGTTGCAATTTCCAATTCAGTTCCTTATCCTAAGTCTGTACCAAAAAAGAGCAAATTGTTACAGCCAAGTTCAAATTAACAGTTGGGCGTCGTCTCGTTGTTGGTGGAAAAATTAAGTGACTCTAAGAACCAACAAACACATTGTGTGCTTTAATTGGCTGTGTGTTGACTAACGACAAAAACATACTGAAGTAGAAATGTGACTCATAGAAGAACTCCTTAGTGGCTACATCATGCCACGGGAAAGGTTTAAAATTCTTATCCATCGTGCTAGTCAGAGATATATGTAAAAAACTCAACTGATTATGCGCAGGCTGCATCAGAATTATATGAAATGTTTGCAAACAAAATCACCTCCCTTAGTGGTTTCTTATTATTTTTCTTACCTGGTGACACCAGCATTAATGAGGCATAAAATCCTTGATGTGTCTGCCCAGGCTCAATTGATGCAGTGTATATTACCGTGAGAGTGTTCAAGTTGTACGTAGAGAAGACGTCATTAGGTATTTTTCCGCAATATCGACCTAGGACTTTGTGAAAATCGTCTCGCACTTCGGCTATTTCTACAGACGCCTTAAAACAGTTCGAACTGTTTGTTATGTTGAAGGAACTGAAGTGAACTTTAATCTGGTATCCTAAGGGAACGAACGCTTTCCACGAACAATAAACCGACGAGGTTAAAAAAGATGCTGTAGGACTTGAAATGTTCACCGATGAGTTTGTGCTTGACAACCACACTGATCTATTAGACATGGCAGGAGTGCAATCTTTGCCAATTGTCATACAGATACAAAATAAAGCAAAATTTCAGTAAAGGTGTCTGAATAATGATTGAAAATATATCGTAAAACAAATAAAAAAAGAACAAAAACCTTTTTCATGAGACTATGAAGACTTGACCGAGCATCAAAGGAGGCTTTTAAATTTATCAACGTAAGAGTTCAGTAAAATACAAATATTGTCTCACTATTGACAATCTTTTCCTCTTCCGGTCGCGACATTAATTCTGCAGCAAACCAGGCTATGACTTTGCGATAACGAAATATCTTTTTGAGACACAAACACATAAAACGAGGAGCTTTTAACGCAGATTTTGCTTTCATCCTCAAACTAAAGAGAATTCACTCTTGGAAAATATCCAAGGTTTCTTCTTCTATTTGTCTGGTCTCCATGGAGGTATAGAGATATATTTTTGCTTTCTCTTACTTTGTACAGCTGCTCGAGCACATCACTCAGTTACGACTTGAGGATGTGTACGTTTCGATTTAGCTTTGCGAATTCTGAAGTCAAACTTTAGCTCACCTAAAACGCCACCATAGGTCCGTTTCCATTGGATAAGAACTGCAATTTATGATTAAAAAAAACAAACAAACAAGAGTACCCGATCAGCGAATAGGGCTTCAGTTAGGTCGACTTTCTATACTTAAGTGAGGGAAGCTTGACTTTGGGCAAATTGATAGTTTACGAGTAACTGAGCAGCCAGCAAAAAACAAAAAGGTGATTGGGTGAAATAGAACCTAAGACACAAATTAAATGTAAACTGAGAAGGATGATAACTTGAGGACTTACCCAGCAGGTACATGACCAGTGCTAATGTGTCATAAATAAATTTCATCATATATGTATGGGTCTGGCGGTCTATTAGAGGATAGTAATGTTTAAAAGTGGAGGTGGGAAATCAGATGATTTTTGCGGCAATGCAATATATTTTGATAAGTTTTCACTATATCAAGAATAGGACTTTCACCTGTCAGAAACTATGATTAGCATATTGTAATAAGTATACGTCTGAGAGATGGGAGACACCTTTCATCTGTCAACCGACATGTCTTCATTTTTCCTTTGTTTGGTGGTAAACGTAAAGCCATCACTACAATAGTTCATGGACTGTTCATACAATCTGGTACCTTATTGCGCTTTTTTGCAATAACAGAAAAAGGAACGGATATTAATCTGTGGCTAGGACACAATATATTTTCTTCTATATCTAAATAAAACTTAACTTTCAAATGCAGTTAATAACGTAGATTTTTCAAGAATTAAATAAAAAATAACAGAAAATGAAACAGTACAGCGCCTTTTTGTTTCTGTGGGGAAGCTTCACGAGGAAAATAAGTGAGCATCACTGTACAATTTTACATAAATGTTTCAAAACTTCGTGAGAGGAGAAGAATATGAAAGCGATTTAGAAATAAAACGTTCTCTTGAATCTAAAAGATATCCATTTACTTTTCGAATGACCACATGATAAAATAATTACAAAGAAGACGGCTTAATGAAGTACTTCTATTCGACAGCTGGAATGACCGATGCCTCTATAATTTGTTTTTTACCACTTTTCTTTGAATCTAGCAATGCCATATCTTTTTATCAAAAAATTATGTTTGTACTACGTTCATGAAAAAAAGGCCAACCAGCATAACAGTAATGCAACAGAATTCCCCAGTCAAACAACATGGTCTTTCCTAGGAAGTTTTTCAGTTGACAAGCAGGAATTTTCGTCGAACAGTTGGCGACTAGCAATCAAATAAATTTAACTTCGTTGATCTACTTGGAGCAGCAATACATAATGTTTCAATATTTTATTTCAAATCTACTTCTGTTTCCTGCAGATGTCAAACTGCTGATGCTTTTGAATTATTGAATTTACGTCATAAAATACTCAGTCAAGCATGAATTCATAGGTAATGGCACCCGACTAAACATAACAAGTTCATCTGTGTTTACCAAATGCATGAACTAATTTTTAAACCATAGCCGTGTTATCTTAAGCCTTCTAAATCGTGAATGGTTGCAACTGCATGGTTTAAGCTGACCAAAGGCCAAAAATAGACAATCGACCGACAGATGATTTCGAACCTCCTAGGCTCATGATTTAGGTTGATATGTCATGAATTATATTATGATGAAGTTATAGCATGTGTACTTGAATCCTCTTACAATTTTAAGCAATAACAACAATTCGGTCATGAAGTTCCCTTATTCTTATTCCTGTCCTCCGATGTGGAGGACGCGAATTCGAGAAGCCATCGCGTGATGCTTTGCTAACTTTTGTTTGAATACAAGTCTAACCGTTTGCAATCATTATTCAGTGTCTTACGTCTCTAAGAAGTCATATGTACATAAGCTTCACCAGTAAAAATTCCTTCGTTACTATCGTCAACATACTATCTTCTAAACTCACCTGTATAAACTATCACTGCTACCCATTTCGACATCATTCTGCAGTACTAGCTAAGCAAAGTCTGAGTGCAAATGGATTTTCTCATTAAATCGAAGAGAGGCTTAGTAATCATTAACATTTTATTTATGGAAGCCAGTCACGTCATCCTTTTGACATACGTCATTACTAGCAAGCCAATAGACAACCTTTCAGTACCCGTCGCACTCTAGTAGAGTATTCATATTCTCTAAAAAAAATTAACCTCAAAAGCATTTGCTGGTATCAAGAAAATAGTGACTTGGTCGAATCTGTCTGTCACGCTATGCTAGGCACTTAAAATATTTCTTCACGCACAAACGACCACATATAGCTCACACCTAGATTTTATTCTTTTTGCTTCTTTGAAACTGTGGAAATGTCATCTTTGACACGACTTACTTGTATATATGAACACATGCACGTACTCTTGAAGGGTTTTGATGATGCTATTGCGAAAGCAGAAGGGGGATAAGAAACATAAATACAGACTTTATCAAAACCCAATTATTTCCTTAATTTCTGGGACGAAAAATGTAATCCATGTCACGGACCACCAACAAAGAGACATAAATAAATAAATAAATGAATAAATAAAATAAACCGCGAGGACACCGATAACTTATGAAACTGTACTTAGAAAACACCATCAAAGCTATTTAAAGACAATTTTTAATCTCTCGTTGGTGGAGCGTTGCCTCTCCGAGGTAAAATCAATGTAGTCATCAGTTAGTTGCTATCTTTGTTTCCCAATGGTGTAAAGCATTATACTAAAGCGCATTCTCTGTTCTAAGAAGTAAAATTTAGGCAATCGTTAATTTTAATAGGGGCTGGTTTGATCTGATCATATGGGGCAAAAGAACCACATGTACGCTACTGATAACTTTTAAGCCTATGTGTGTTTAAGAACACTGTGGTGAATAACGTATCTGACAGAGAACAAAAGAAATACCAGTTCTATTCATGAAACGAGGTTAAACATGGACGTACACAGTACTTAATTTTACCAAAACCATTTTCGCTAGCCAGTTGAAGGAAGAAAAATGGCAGCCGACAAAATTTTCTTAGTTCCGCCAACCTGTTAGCGGCCGAACGAAAGAGAGGACAAGCGACAAACAGCGCATGCGGGATGCAGTTTTTACTTTGTCTGATACTCGCCGTTTTTTCGCGCGCCCGCCTTTTCGCTCGTTTGCACTTAGCACAAGTTTTAGTGTCATTGGCTCCTTCAATAACCTCAAAGTGCAGACGAGATAATATCTATAGAGTGTAAAATGTACGATTAACACCATCTACTTTTCAGCAGCGCGAAAATTTGCAGAAACGGCGGTCATTCCATCAACTGTGGTTAACGTATTTACATTAGTAACTTGTAGGAGCTCAGCTATTAAAGTCGAGCTCGTCAGCTTCGTTGTTATTTCTGACTGATTTTTGTCTGTAATTCAGCATGGCCATCTCCTCGCGGTTTGTTTCCTTCAACTGTTTTTTCCTTCGTCGATATATCTGCGCCATTTTTAAGAGTATTAGAACAATTATAAATATTCCGAAGCAGATAAAACAAGTGGTGATTATAGCTATAATTGTTCTGTTTTTAGTATCTGCAAGGGAAAAAAAACGATGGTGTTAAAGAAAAACTTGAGCGCAAGGTATTGAGATTAGTTTAACTGGGCGTGAAGTTAAGAAGTCTCTTCTTGAAAGAATGTTTGGTCGATCTAATCTTGTCTTAATTTGGAAACTTCAAGAATAGCTGAAAACGCCCACACCTCTTGTCGTGAGGGGAGTTTTAACCAAAAGAAAAAGTGCAATGATCAAGGCATTATCACAATCGTTAAGGAGGTCAGTGGGAAGTTTTTACACTTCTCTATAGGAAGAAACGAAAACTTTGAAGTTTTCTACATTAGGGCCCATGAAACCAACTAATCACGACAAGCTTTCAGTTTGAGGAAAGTAAAATTTCCTTGATCCTTAGGGTTTCATCTTTACTTAGAAGGAAACAAATTGTCATCTGTTTCTTCATCAGGGCTATGATTTTTAACCCCAACGGAAAGTGTACTATCAATAGTAGGTCAGGCCATCAATTGTTGATGGCGACAATCTGACTGTTATACTGTTAGTCTTTGCCAAGCGATAAGGTCATGGTATTACTTCTCCGCACTTCGTTACATCTGAGTTTCTACTCTTATTGATGTGAACCTCAGTATATTTTGGGAGACTAGGTTCAGTTACCTTTAGTAGCTGCCTCTTTCAGTACCCGTATCTGACAGATAGTGATATTGTACTGCTTTACATCGTCTGATGTGGTTACTTGACACGTATATATTCCAAAGTCAGCAAGTGAAGAAACCGTCACATTTAGAACTCCATCTCCACTGCTATTAAGAATAGATTGCCCCTTTGTCCATTTGTGATTGGTCGGTTCGTCAACGGAAGCGTGACAAAACAAAGTTATTTTATCACCTATTTTCGAAGCTACACATTCTTGTTTCATGGAACCAATCCAAATTCTGTGCGGATCATCTAGGTAACAAAACGTAAAACAATGACGTTGAGGCTAAATAATGTAAAAGAAGAAGTACTAAAACGGAAATTAATTGAGAAAATTTTATTGTTCGTTGGGATGAGACACTTTCGTACAAATACACTGTTCGCCGGCTTGCTTGTTTCATTGAGAATGTCAATTTAGGGCCTTGTAAGAAAAGGGCAGGAGTATTTTTGCATTCTTTGTTATCAGAAAAAAAAATTAAATGATAGGAATTTTAAGTATCTTTTGCAATAAAAATTATATGTCTAAATTTGAATAGTGTTACTCACTCTAAAACTCGGCAGGAGACCACACCCTCCCACGTCGTATGCATTCGGTGTCGACCTCAGAGTACGTTCCTGCCTTTCTGTTCTAACTACGGTGGTGCATGACAGCAGAGTTTATGACGTCTCTAACCATTTATACTTTTTATTAGCTTCATCAGTTGTTAACTGCTTTAGGATGAAACATCACTGGTCAAGAACACACCAATTCAGTGATGAGACAAGCTGTTTCGGACTTTTAAATAATCCAATTTCCCGCACGAGGTATGGGGAATCAATCTCTTATAAACATTGGCTTAATATAGTTGTTCAATTAGCGAGTTCACGAGGATATGTTTAGGTTACAATTAAGTTGTTGTCGAGTGTTAGCCCTCTTGATATAATAAGAAAAGTATATTACCGTTTGATTTTATCCTCATTGCTTCACTTGATGCACTCGGTGTGCTTTTCCAACTCTTGTATAGCGCCAACACCCTGAAACGATAATCCTGATCTTTCTTGAGAGCAATAACAGTTGCTGTGTTATTACTAACAGTACATCCTGTATCAGTTAATTTTTCCACACATTCCACCGCTTTCCATGTAGTTTCTCCGCAGCATTTTGCTTCCACTGAGTAGTTTGTGAACTCAGTGGGAGTTGGCTTCCAAACTAATGTGATAGATCTATCGGAGCTTGAGACAAATCGTGGTACACTCGGATCACCTCAAGAAGGGAAAAATTAAATCCATGATACACATACTCGAAGTGCAAATAATGATGACATAAAGTGTCCACCTGTAATCAAATCTGATTCGATTTGGGAGGCGGGAGATTGCGAGATTTGACCATTAGTTAATGATGTTGAGTATTTTTCGATATGTGTGAGTACCAAATTACGAAGAGTTGAGGTTGTATTGAATGGAATAGGACTACTTGGAGGGTTTTTTCCCCACACTTTCTCAACTGAAAGTCAAACGAAACCTTACCTAATTTCTTCGTAGCCATTGACTCCGATACCTGACTATACACCAGATAAGGAGAAACAAGTCGTAGGTAGTATATGTGCCCGGGGCTCAGACCAGTAAGAGTTATTATGGCCTTGGGTACCTTGACAACGCACGATCCAACTACATTGCTTCGTCGGCGGCATTTACTATCATACCATTTGTCAGTTGTGTTCGACCATATTTGTATTGTGTACGTTATATCTGTCACGTCAGGTATGCTGCACTTTATTGTAAGAGAGTCCAGTGTGCTTGAAACATACTGTGGTATTGTTAACGAGATGCCTGCAAGATACAAATTCGCTGTTGTAGTTTAGTGACAAGAATACATGAGAACAGACGAGAGTCTATTTGTGTAGGTTACATTTTCGGCACCTTTCGACACTTCACTGTAATCAATTATGATAACTGCGCAAATTGTTTTCCACATTCCTTGATTTATGACAAAAAGGAAAAAAAATCAAGATGCTGATTAGAATTGTATATTACAGCATCAATACTTTCAGGTATTGGGTCAAACTTGTTGAACACTTTAAGATCAGCTGCAATCAAGTAGTTCTAAATACTCGACGCTCAGCCAATCAGAAAAAGCGTGACGTGGTCAAGAAAATGGAGACTTCTCTTATGACATAAAATAATTATTTGACCTAAAAATACTGACAACTTACCAAAAGCAGCAACAAAACTCACCCCAGCTTCTATCAGAACACGTTGCTCCAGCAGCAAGACCTTCATTGCAAGTGCGTTTTCCCCAGCCAGAGTTAACACAATGAAAAAGAGAACTCTCATTTCCAACGCATTGTACGTCAGTTAGCCACAATGTATTATTGCTCTGCTTGAAAGTGATATTTTGGTAATATGCTAAGGCTTCATTGTAGCCCAACAGTCGGCAAAGAACATTAGCATCCACCAAGTCCCACTGTTCGCCACACACTGAACCCCAGGCGCCGGAACGACGTACTTCAACTCGGCCATCTCTTGCAGTCCGTCCTTGGACCAAACGCACTACAATAAACACGATTACGCGATCATTAAAGTGTTCAGTCATTGGGTTTTTTTTGTTTTTTGTTTTTTCTCCGAACAATATTTTGTCGTTCCCATTTCCTGATCTTGCTATATTGTCTTAAAATTTAAAAAAAAGAGCTTACATTCATTGCCCTGCCCTGGATTGGACAGGGGATTATGACTCCTAATGTTGATTATAGAAGTTCAGGCTTTCAGGAAGAAAGAAGTTCTGTTGATTATAGAAGTTCAGGCTTTCAGGAAACGTAGCCCTTGTCGGGTTACGTTTCTTGAGATACCTCAAGTTAGCCTCTTTATTTAATTTTGTTTGCTTTGTTTCTAGAGTACAATGTTAAAAAAATGCTCTGTTTTCTCAGTTTTATTAATCGGTACAAATCGTTTATCTACCTTAACAAAATTATAACAATGTGTCTTTTATGGTGGTGATTTTTCATCACGCATAACAATGACTACAGGCGATATTTCAATTTTGTGCATAATTATGTGCTGGTTGCCTTTGATGACTGTTTCTAATTTTGTTACAAAATTCATTACCGACAAAACAAGGATTTTAACAGTTCTTACATGTAGAAGCATGTGTTATTGCGTCACCTGCGTCTTTTGCCCACGTCTTCACGGAGAGCACTCCTATCAAAACATCCAGCCGGTTAATAATGTGTAAGGTCAGGAGCCCATTACTGGGCTCATAGTAAGGTACGTTATTCAGATTTCATCAGGCTGACATCATCTCATAAAGGTTACTATATCGACAACAATACATATGGTTTACGTATATTTCAGCGGTTATTCGCCGTTACGTTCTATTGGTTAATCAAAGACTGATTTCTTGCTCTTTCTCTATTTATTACGTCACGACGGAGGGTTTTGGCAGTCAGAAGATCAGTTTCCGGGTTATGTTTATCTTCCAAGCGAAAAAATAGCATGTAATAACAGTCTGTCAATCTAATTAGTCTGATAAATATGTAAGGAAGATTGCAAGAAAAACAAAGTGGCGACAGAGACTCACAAACTCGCACAAAATTTAGGCAGAGTAAGCGTAAAAGGAACTGATTGCCTTACTTCACCCTTTTACCTTCGATTCCTCCGTACACATTTTGAAACGGGTTTCCGCAAGAAAGATAATGACATAGCCGTAAACTTAATTATTTTCGTACATTGTCCTGTGTTCAACAATTACCCCACATTAATTACTTTCTAATAGCTCTTTGTGCACGCACGGTGTAACTTGGAGTCACTAACCGTTCAAATCGTCAAGGCTTCTACACGTCAGCGTGCACAAAATGCTTGAACAGAATATTTCTTTCTGTTGAAGATAGTGCAAATAATGAAGAGGTTTGAAAACTCTTCGTTGCCAAGGGAAAGCAGGGTTACTCGATTCACAGTCATAATTCCTTCGTTTTAAGTGCCAGATATATGTGAGGCATATTTATATTTCTACAAAATCAAGTAACATTTTCGCTGCTGCTAAATAAAAAAAGGGTTAAAGGCTCGGTTGGACATTTTCATTTAAGATCTTTTGTATAATTGGAAGGTTAAACATCCTGTAAATGCTGTTTGTAAACACCTAAACCACGCGATAGAACAAGGTTTGTTACACCTGAATAGAGTTCACGTAATATATTCGTGTTGATTGTGTTTCTGATTTGAGTCGATTAACATACCTGCCAACAGAATAAGCCGGGTTGCCCTTGTTCCCTGCATTGTTTTGAAAGTTCGTACTGTTTACAAGGTACGTCTGTGTTCACTTCTGCTTGGTACTGCTGGTATTATTACTGTAATCTTATGAATTTTCATGTGATACGAAATGACGCGTATGACGTAGCATGAAGGTTATACGATTTAATTAACGTGGATTCTACTCAGGACAATGGCCACCCGGATTAACAGTAGTTATACGCGCTCTGTTGATTTGAGAAAGTTCATCTGTGATAAATGAAAACAGCTGCAGATTCTGTCATGCATACGATTATGTCTGTTTTCGACATGATTTAGAGCTCCCCCGGCTTAAAGAGGAAATAAGAAACAAAACCACACTGAGGCCAAATTGTATCCCATGACACGAGAGAGACGTAAATGACTTTACACGTAAATTAATACAGAATTCGAAGACAGCTTCATATGCCAATATTTCCGCTGCAATATCATGTGTTGTCTCTTGGTTTGCATGTATGTTTGTCCAATCGAACTTATACACCGAGTTTTAGCTTCGGAAATACCTAGAAAGCAAAGATATGATCAACTAGAATAGATTGAAGGAAAATTTATGATTAGTTGTGTGAACATGGAGTATGTTTCGTGACAAACTGCCGACGTTAGAACTTGCCAAAGACCTGCAAAATCACTTGAGGTCAGGGTCAAAGCGAGCATATCTATATGTGGCCTAGCCTAAATTTATCACTTTGGCCAGTCGTGTGCCAATTTTGTACAAAATTTATTTCGTTTACATCACCGAAATTCAAATTAGTTTATCGTTCAGTGTATTCGTACACTATCAGTCGCTGTCTCTAAAGATTGTGTATTTGAAACTCAGCGCGTGAAAATGCTTTAAAAAAGGTAATTACGGAACGTTCGAGAAATAATTTTTTTATTTTATCTATCTTACTTCATGGCGATGTCTATCATCTTCACAGGCTTAAGCCAACTCACAAACCCTGACCAAAAATGAGGCAGTTGATTTTCATAGCATTTTGTCTCTATTGCTTTTTTGATAAGAGTATCTATAAAAAAAAAAACTTATCTGTCCACTCCGGCAGTTGTTTAGACGCATTTCAACGTCATCGAATATCTCCCTTAGATCAGAAAAAGTCGTCCAACTGAAGTGTAGTGCTGATCGCATCTGTCTCATACTGCGGGGGATCAAGGGAAAGAGAAAGGAAATGAAGAAAAATTATTTAGCAGAGAGTAGGGTGCCCCGGAAAAGATCGCGAAAAGTTATATATCAAAAGAAATTTAATTATTTTATTTATTTATTAATTAACCCATTCATTTATTTTAACTTCATATTATTAGTGCATTGTATGCTCGGTGTTGGTGTTACTTTTTGCAAAGGATAATGCATGAAAATTCCTGTTTAATTAGATTGCTCAGGAGATAATTAACAAAGAAGTTTACTGATCCTAGTTTCTCGCAATAAAAGCATAAATTGGAAGCTAGAAGACCTCAGAAACTTTTAAAATCCTATTCCTTTTCAATTATCAGCTCTCTCTGTGCTACTCATATTTGTTATACATGCACGGTTGCCTGTCAGTCCTCAAATCAGCGGCCACCCCCGAGCAATTTTCACAATTTCCGGGGCTCGGTACTCAGGTGAAGCTGGGAAAAAGTAAAGAATTAGAAGAAAATTAATAATCGTGTCGTTGTGTCGTTTTCAAAGAATATTTTAAAGAAAAATACAGTTGAGTCGATCGTTATTTGTAGAGCGGAGTTAATCTGACTCGTAGAACTACTATTACTAAACTGATTTATTCACTGAAATTTCGCACGAGTTGGCTCGTTTTGAGAGGAAACGTTACTTTCGGCTCAGATTGCCAGAGGAAAGCAGTGGAAAGTCTATCGTATGTTGAAATGGTGCTCAGCGTTACAAAATGTTACATCTAATCATAGCAATATCTTCTTAGCCAATCCCAATATCCTCCTGTAGGTTATGGAAAATATACGTACATATAATATCGCACGACAAACCTGTCATAAATGGGGTTGACCATTAGGATATCGTCAGAGGCAGCAGATTCATAAAGCGGGTTTTCATTTTCGTATTCCCTACAAGGTACTTCATCACAATTTTGTTGCTCTTTAACCTCACTGTACAAGTCATCTCCTGAAAACTCCGTCATTCTGTTTCTGATATGATAATAAGCAAATTACTATGATGTAATTCAGGGGATCTCCCGTTTACTGCGGCGCAGTATCGCCTTCAGCTGTAAGTTTGTACTTGCGCAACACGCCGAGTAGGATCTCATGTATACGTTTGAAGAGGCTCCTCGTCTGAAAAGAGGATGCAATGCTTAACTCTTCTTTAAAACAATTTCATCTTCTCTAACTGTCTGTCTTGAATGTAGCTGATTCATGATTTTAGTAAATAACTTAATTGGAGTATGAAATCACCTAAAATTGAAGCATGAACACTTCGTGAATTATCACGTATTTTGAAGACGTAGTGGCATCGCAAAAAATAGACAGTCAAAGACTGTATGTGGCTACTGATATAGCACAACTTTTTTAGCATTGAAAAGAACTCGAGGTTGTCTAATGATACTACAAGGCAGTCTTGCAGAAGATTTGTCACACATGCAAAACAGAAAACCTGCTGCATTCCACATTTTTATGAGTACTCTGTTCCACGAGAGAAAGATGATTCAAGAATATATTATTCAATTGATACTCAACCAATAATTGCATGGTAACAAATAATAATATTAACAATAACAATAATTATAACAATAGTTAAATTATAATAATTTAAAGGAGCTAGCTCGAAAACCTTATGGTTCCTTATCTTCTGGGCTCCAACAATGATTGCCCATGCTTCTTTTAATTTCGTCTGTTATTAATGAATGATCTCTTATTTTATTGCCATTTAATTTTTTTAGACTTTTAGACAAAAATTCATCAGCGTTTTAGATATTCCGTCATTCCGCGTCTCAAGATATTCCGACATTTCGCTATCCACCGTTCCCGTTCCATTACTCTGTTGAATGACTCAAGGTGAAAGTAGCACGGAGAAACATCGGGTCAAAATTGGGTCAAGATCGGAATTCCACTGTTGCACTCACTCGCTCACTAGCTAATCATCTCTACGACACATGGGGCTTCGCCTCCTTTTGGAGGCAGTAGCCATTAAAATGTTGTATAGAAAAGCATAGGAAGTCAATCAAAATTCAAAATAGTAAATCTACACCTGTTCAGCAAGTTTGGATGCCCTCAGAGAAAAACGGAAAAAACATCATTAAGGGACTGGTCATCATTTACATTATTTATCATGGGGGGAGGGGGGGGGGGAGGTAGGGCTGGAGGATCTTGGTTATGTCAGTCAATTTTCTATAATCCTTCCCCTTTTTGCTCTGTTGGCGACGACTGATCCCCCACCTTTCCCCTTAAAATCATGTGATCCTCCAGAAATCCTCCCTCCCCAGGTGATGAATAATGACTAGTCTCTCACTCCGACTTAAAACTAACCTTTCATAGATGGGGTTAACCACAGCAGCGTCAGGTGATTTTGCAGGCTCATACGAAGGGTTTTCATTTTCTTTTCCACAACAGAGTTGCCCACTATCATCGACGTCGTGTTGGTTTTTAACTTCGGCGTACAATTCAATTCCGTCTAAACCATTAATTTCATTTGTGTTTGCAGTAACCAAGGTGCTGCAAAGTAAACCAATGAGTTATTAACATCGTGCATTTTAACAAATTCATAATCGTCATCGAATGTATCACTTGGAAAATAATGATGATGATGATGATGATGACGGCGATATCAATCAATGCGGGTTTTGGTTTTGGTTTTGTTAGTATGGAATGTCATACGTTGATAGTTATCATATAGTGAAACAGACCAGATTATAGAAATCGTTCATCAGTTGATTCATTCTGTTTGAAAAAGGCTAAAAATTATTACACTGCACTACTTATTCCAGATAGTTTCGCAAAAGATTATTGTACTCATTTTGAAAGATGACTACCCTTCTATGGAGCTAAGGTTTCAAGAGAGGTAATCAACATTTTACCGTAATAGAGTAAATATATCTCATTTGACGTTTTGGTGTATAGTATCGCTGAGTATTTTCACGAGTTATGCCGTATTTTGGCGAGCCCGTACAGCGAGTCAAAATGCAAACAACGAATATGAAATATCTAGCGATACTACACACCCAAACGTCTAGTAATTTATTACTATCCAACTGCTTTTCTTTTCTGCCAAGTATTCCTGTTCGTTTCTCATTGGGCGGGGAAAACAAAGCGGATAGAGAAGCGTAGCGCGCAGCCGACTGGTTAAACAGGTTTTTTTATAGTACAAAATAACCAACTGTCTAAATAATCGTACAATGTCGCAGGATGTTTGTACTCTATTCGCGCGTTATTAGTACTCTACTTTGTGTAGTTGGATAATAAGGTGATTTATCATTGAAATGTTTTGAAATCAGTAGTTCGTTGCCTTTTATCTAATACAGCCCAGTGAAAACTATAATCATGAATCGTAGGAAACGTTAATTTAACAAGCACCCAATGACCTTACAAATTAAGTGGTTGAATGTTCAGTGCAAATGTATATGTGATTCTCACCTATCATAATTCGGATTTTCAGTTGACACGGCTGATGCTTTCCTTGACCTTAAAATTGAACAAACGGTTCTGTTAGTTTTACATGAGTTATGACATCCCTTACCAGACATTCTATAGCGTGCAAGGCCATTACGAAGTTCACGCATCCAGCATGCGCTGCTAGGATCAGCTATGTTGATAGCGTCTTGTTTGTAAATAGAATTAGAAAAATGATAAAATTTTGAGCGCGGTAAAGAAATAGAGAAATTTGTTTTTCGTCTTGTCATAAGCATGGGACAAAGAAAACGACAGTCTCTGTGGCTCAGTAGTAGAGCATCGCAGCGCGGAATCCGAAGGTCTGATGTTTGATTTAGTCCTTGTAGGGACTCAATATAATTTCTTTTTCTCACACTCGTGACAAGACGAAAAAAATTCTTCTGAGGGTTTTGTGAAGCCAACGATTTCCAGCACACGAAGAACGTCATCTAATCGGATCTGCTTCGATATTTCAGAAATCAAGGAAAAGCCAAAATAAAATTTCTGGTGGTATGACATGCTTTTCAACGTGAATACTTACCGTGTGATATGAAAGAGGACAGCTGAACCCATATAAACAAGCAAGACGGCCAACACCACGGGAATGACCACGGCTACTACATTCACACCTGTACAAGGTAGATCAGTATCACTATATAGGACTGTAGAATTAGCTACACAAAAAGCTGTGTCCTGGCGGAACCTCTCCTTTGAAACAGTTTATTTGTTTGTTTTTTTTTGGTTTATTATAACAGCTCCTATAAGACCTAGTATGGTCATCTATATACTAGTTGATTGCAGGTTAATTGTGGGTTACAGATGAATAAACACAAACTCTAAACAGCCTGATCCCTGGATCCTTTCAGACCTCTCCTTCTGCCGTAACATAAATAGTAGTTAACCTGTGAAGATAAATTCGTCACCTTTTAGTATTTACCTCGTCTTTGTGGTTGCTTCTCTCCGCTTTCAACTCCACCCTTTTTCGATAATTTATCAGATGTAGGTTTCGGCTCTCCGTCAGATGTTGTGTTTTTCGTGTGGAAAACGTGTGTTATCTCTGTTGTCTGGGTAGCTATGAGAGAAATCGTAATTCGGCGTTGCAAAATAGTCTTTTCAATACATCTCCGATCTAATGTTAACATAGCATGTTTATTAACCATGGAGAAGAACGTATTCCTTCAGTCTTATTTAGAGAAAATAGTGCAAGAAACTTACATCATGTGATACAAAAGGTTCACGGAATTAGGGAATACTTACTTGGAAAACTAACACCGTAGTAAGAAACATTGAATCCAGCGTACGAGCCTTTGCTATCTGATCTGAACATTACAAATAGATTATTAGACGAGGAAAATATTCCTTCCTCTGGGGGTGGATGAGCTCCGTAAAACACCCCCAATATCTTCCCTGTAGCATTCTCTCCATCATACACATATAATTCGTCTGTGCCACTCTCGTACTGCAAACTAAAGTTTGTGAATGTCATACGGATTCGTTGTGTTTGGTTGATTTTGATTCTCCAGGAGCAGTACTGTCCATCTGGATATGTTCTTGGGTAGTTTGGAGAATGGAAAGTACCATATATAGATGTAAGAGTTTCGTTGCATCCTGAAATAGGATTAAATGGATTTAACAAAAATTGATGTGGGAGTTAAGTGTGTGACATTAGAGACGTATACATTAGAGACGTGTACATTGAGAGACGGTAAAATGACATTTCCTGTTTAATGGTCAATATGCTGTTTCCACTAATAAATTTCTTTGGTGAACAATAACCGCAAGTTCTAACCGGGTACGACGGCAAAATTAGCCTTATTCCCTCTCCTCATGAGTGCTTCTTAAATTTGCAATAAAAAATAAAGACCCTCGCTATTCATTGCCAATTCAAATGTAATTATGATAGCTGAAAGATGTTTGCATGAGTGTGATTGCTCACCACGGTAATAACAGTAGTAAATGGTTGGGTTCTTTGTTCCAGCATTGTAAGGGTACGCCCCATAGCTTTTATCCTCGTTGTTCCTGTCTTCAGTATGATAACGTATCCGCTCCACACTGGCAACCGCCCATTTGACCATCTGACATTTTTTTGACCCATAAGCTAGCAGGAAGAATGGATCTTTAGCGGGGATGATAATGGGATCAGTTTTGTTTCCACTCGTCGCACAGCAGAAGTAAATCTTGGTGTCCTTTCCATATTTGCCAGTAGGAAGTATGCCCCTTTTATCATTACGATTATCGAAGTCTTCGTCATCCCAGTAGACGTAACCTGACTCTAGATCTGGAGGGCAGGTTCGCTTTTTGTAGATACAGTACTGCCCTGCAGAGAAAAAAACATTCAGATAAGTTACGTTGAAGGTACTACGGAAAAATCTAATGCAACACGTTAATTTTCCTCTTTATAAAGCGCTATATAAATGTATATAATAAATTATTATTATTTCATTATTATTATTATTATTAGAATTAAATGTCAAAGTGTCATCGAGCAGTAACTAAAAAATCGCAATCTACTTATTTTCCTTGCTTTTTTGAATTGTACGTTAATGGAAAAAACAAATAGGTGGATATTGTAACACTTGGTAGAGCTTTAAGGTAAAACAAATTTTAGGAGACCCATTTTTGCGTACACATATTTAGGGCAGTAACTTACTCATGGGTTTCTCTATTTTTGGTCAGATGATAGTCACTTTCTTACCTGATGGCCAGTGTGGCCTGTTGCTATCGTCAGCTGTTGAAGTTTTCATGCAGAAAGATCTTGCAATTCCTGCTTCTCGAACCTCTCCATCAAGGTGAAATTGCGGTGATTTTGAGTTTGCCGAATTAGTATCCTCTGTGTCTTGATATCTCCATCCCTTCTCCCAGCGAAACCCTCCTGCTCTAGGACACTCAGCTACAGGTTTTGGTATCCCGTATCGGCCAGATGGCCAACGAACAGGTTCTGTTTAACAGGAATATAAATTGTTCGCTGAGCCGACGATTGTAATCGACTAGACTTAGTTTTAGCTTGAAACCGCGTTTTACATCCGTTGTTTCGATTTGGTACTCAAATTTTTCCTAAACTGTTTTCTTGTGACTAAGCACTGACAAGTCACTCTATCAATTCGTCAATCTTTGTCAACTTGCTGTTCTATTGGAGAGCATTCAAAATTAAAAGATTGTTTCCTTCCGAAACCAATGAAACAAAGCGTGATGTTCTGTCAATTTGGAATTCAGAAACCCGATTTAGGAGATAGGATGCTTATTTGTTCCCGATATTTACTCGCTGCTTACTTATAAGGTCTCCAGGTGATAACTGATTTAATGGTTTCCTGACGAGCATTCCAAGTTTGAGAAACGAGGATATTGATTCTCAAACGCTACAGAACAGATTCGGTGGCTGCGTTCACAGTTCTCGCATGTTATCACAGGACGACATGTTTGAACCCATCATAAACATATTACAACATACCTTTTCAAATCTCCCTAAAAAAGACTTACCTGAAACCTTTAGGCTATGGGAAGATATTATTAAACTTAGAATTCGCCAATACAGCATTTCCAAGGCTCTAAAGTTTAGAGAATATATCAAAAGAAAGGAAGCTCTATATTTTCATTTTGTTTTGACCTTAAACGATCAACGGTCACGCAAGCTTGGATTAAAATCAGAATTTCGGTTATGTAAGAATATATTTCAGTTCATTTCATAACCTATCATTCGTATTTGGTAACAATGGGAAATTAAGCTAAGGTCACTGGGCTCGGTCACCTAGTAAAAGAATACGAATAGCCATCACGAGGCTTGATCGTTTCCGGTTCAAATTATGTTGTTATCAGGGTGCTCGTTTTTTGACGTCAGGAATTCGCCTTTTCTGCTTTGTCTTCGTGTAATTTTTCGTACTCTTGTTTGTAGTCGAGAGGCACAAGCATTGTGAAGTAATAGTCACTGACAACCAGAACAAACATGCTCCTTTGCAATGAATATTCAGAAAAGGATTTTGTAGTAAATTAAAGAGTAGTTTGGGTCGAGATGGCTTTGAATTAGACCAATAACTCAAACAGGAGAGACAAAACATGGCAACAATACAAAATGTCGGCTACTTGCAACCAGACTTGTCCGTATCTATATATTTTACTAACTTCGTCTTTAATAATACAAAACCACTTTCAATACAACACTTAAACTACTTAGAATGATTTCTTGTACATAGTTTTTACAGTGGAAACTCGATTTAACAAAGTGCCTAGGGACTGGGGAAATTGGTTCGTAATATCGAGGGTTCGTTATGGAGAAAACCTCGATTTAACTTGTAAAACTCCTTGAAGAAGTCGACGACAGTTAGAAAAAACGCGTTGGAGAATAAAGAAGGTTTACAACTACTGTTCGCAGAGTGCTGCTCACTACTTTAGTTTTTTTAAAAAAATTAAAAATTTTCACGTGTTGACATTTGTTCGTTATATCCGGGTATGTTATACGTTTGGGCCTCTGGATTGTGTTCGTTATACCGAGGACTTCATTATATAGAGGTTCGTTAAATCGAGCTTCTACTGTTATATTAGCTAAGTGACACAACGATTCTATGTACAAGGTAAATGGGTCAAGGAAGTGGGGGCTGGGGTGAATTTTCTAATATTTACTATTTATCTGACGTACAATTCATGCAACGGCAGGATTGCACATTAAAACTCCATATGAAGTGTTTGTATTAACTTGTCTTGAAACATATTTAAGTTTGTTAAGGCGCTAATGCAGATTGACATTTCTATATTTTCTAAATAAAAGATTGAATCATCCTTCCCCTATCAAAAATTCCTTGATCCACCCCTGGTGTACGTTTTTGAAAGCCTACCATTGGCTGGTGTTGTGTGCTTTACGTAGTCGTTGTCCGTTTGTACCATGAATTCGTCGCTGATTTGATCCTAAGCAGATTAGTTGTACTTCGGTAATTAGTTGTACTCTACATTACACAAAACATTTTTCGTTCCTTCTTTTTTCGTGAAATTATTAGCTCCCATTTTGAACTTTTAAATCTGAGAGGGGTTGGAAAGAGAAAATAATTTCCGTACAACATACAAAATCAAACATGACGGCTTAGCGTCAGGGCTAATGTTAGGATCTCGAGCTCTATTTCGAATAAATCGATTGCAGACTAAATCTCTCTTGTAAATAATGCTCGAGGTCGTACACTATGTTTAGGAGTTGTCAACCGGAGTTCGTTTAAAGCAAGTTTTGTACCAACTACAAAACTGCTCGCTACTTTCTCTTCATTTCTTATTTTTCTTCGGTTTGAGCTGAAAAAGAACAGAAGAAAAGACTATGATTGAATTTGTCAGGAAACAACCTTAAATTATTCTTATAAAACTTTCAGAGTTTAACTACAAAGCTCCCTCTATTTAACGAATCCATAACATTTTACTTGCTACCCATTCAAATAACAGTATTTCCGTTGTCCTTTGATCCAGTGAAACAGAAATTTAAAGTTTATAAATCGATGAAAACTTACATTGAAAATAAGTACTGATGGCCTAAGGTCGATCTGATGCGATGAATGAAAAGGTTTGTACATTAATCAAGAGAAAGAACTCTAATCTCTCTCAGTATCAGAGCTTAATTAAGGGAAACTTAATTGAAGATAAAGATCGAAGATGACAAACCCTCATTATGAGGGTTGTTGTCTGCAATCTAAAGGGCACCTGTTTGTAAAAATGACATTTACATTACATTTTCGCCTTACCTTATGAGCCAGGCGATTGATCCGTTGGTTAAACAGAATACTGTAACCTCTTGCGGTAAAACACCACTCCTGCAAGCACGAACGCTAAAAGGGCGATCAACACCAAGGGAACGACCACAAAT